ACACGGTGTGCTGCGGCAGTCAAAAAGGCAAATAGAATGTTAGGAATTATTAAGAAAGGGATAGAAAATAAGACAGAATATCTTAGGGTATGTCTAAACTACATGGGCTCCATCGACGGAGCCATGTAGATTTGTTTGTTCGGCAAAGGGAAATGAAGCCGCGATTTAAATAATCGCGGCTTCATTTAAATTTAAATGGCTGCTGCGCGTAGCCAACCAACAGCTGATCAGCTGTTGGTCGGCTCAGCACGCTAGTCTGGATGCTCCCCTGCCGACATGAAAGCCCTTTATTGACCTCCCCGGTAAACCTCATCCCACGAGGCATAACGGGGAGGTCGATAAAGAGCTTTCAGGTCGGCACGGGAGCCTTTTGATATTGCTTGTTAATAAACTTTATCTATTATTATTGACCTGTAATGATAGTTACAATTTTTATGGAGGCCAAAGTTATATATATCTGTGGCTCAGGTAGCAGTCATTTTTCATGCAGAAAAGTCAATGTTTGCATGTGGACTAGGTGCAGCAAATTTTTTTAAGGTGCAACACAGGTGCCCATGTTTGAAAATTTATCTCCCAAAGTCTCATTAATTTCTGTAGGATTTTGTGTTTGTGACATCAGGATAGTTTTCTAGAATGCAGTGCAAAGTGTTGTTAATATTCATTGATGGCTAATTCCTGTCGTCTGTGTTGAATGTGTGGGAATTTGGATAACAAAAGACTCTGATAAATAAGGTGTAGGATTTGGCCCCAACAGTATACATTTTGTTGGATAAAATATCTGTATATCCAGATATACACAATGTCAAGTCAAACTGTTTTACACAAAATCTCGCTCAAGCTCAACAGGTTCCACAGCACATCATTTAGTGCATGGTACTTTGGCAGGAGTGTAAGTATAGCATGGCAGAAGGCTCCCTGACAGCTTTGAAGACAAATAGCAACAGGACTATTGGCATTTTTAGTATTCTAATTCAGCCCCCTTAAATAAAATGTTGAATTAATATTTTAGTGATAAGGGGAACTCTTGTCCAAGGTTTTCATGTGGGTCCAGGACATTTTTGGCCATTATCCTTTAATTTGATATTATGGAGAATATCAGTGGGCTCACCATTTTTCTCATTACCATCTATTCCTCTTCATTTGACATTGAAGCATTTATTTTGGAATGAGGGTGGAAGCTCTGAGAATGACCAAAACATGGGAGATATTTTGAGAGAAGCAGGCAAATGTGTTGTGTGGCTAGGTTCTCTTGAATCGGCCCACATTTCTGCTTAAAACTCAGGTGAGATTTCAGTTCATCTTGTGGGGCAGTACAGTTTTACAAACTCTGACACCAGCTATTGATGTTTGCCTTGATTCATCTCCTATTAGTACTGTACCTTCGAACATTTTGGCTGTGTCTACACTGGGCCACTTATTCCGGAAAAGCAGCCGCTTTTCCGGAATAACTTGCCAGCTGTCTACACTGGCCGCTTGTTTTTCCGGAAAAGCAATGATGATCTACTGTAAAATTGTCAGTGTTTTTCCGGAAAAACTATGCTGCTCCCGTTCGGCAAAAGTCCTTTTCTGGAAAAACTGTTCCGGAAAAGGGCCAGTATAGACAGCACAGTAGTCTTTTCCGCAAAAAAGCCCCAATCGCGAAAATGACGGTCGGGGCTTTTTTGCGGAAAAGTGCGTCTACATTGGCCACAGACGCTTTTCCGGAAAAAGTGCTTTTCCAGAAAAGCATCCTGCCAATGTAGACGCGCTTTTTCCGGAAATACTTATAACGGAAAACTGTTCCGTTTTAAGCATTTCCGGAAAAGGGTGCCAGTGTAGATGTAGCCTTTGGGATTTAGTTAAAAGATTTATTTACCAAATACATTCACATTCCAAATATTTCTGTACAGAAGGACACAAAACCAGCAGGATTGCCCATCACAGGACATTAACTGATGTGATGCTATCATTTTGTATGTGTAACTTCTTGCCTTCAACCCCCATGCTGAGTTCTTGTGTTCCTTTTCTCCCCAGGGTCATGTCTTACACAGAATCCCCACTGTGACTTTGCTCTGCTGGGTCAACAGCAACATGGGATGACAGTTTTCACCTTTGATTATTATTTGTCTAAACTTGGAGAAAAATAAGATTTCTATCTATTATATCTCCATATTTCATCTTACAGGAGATAGAGAGACAATAAATACTGACTGGTTTCAAGTCTTTAGACTTCCTGGGCCTTTAAGAAAGGGGTAGGAAGGATGGCATTTAAGAATAGCTGTTTTTTTCTGAATAGTAAATGTGATCCAAAGAGTGGCTGGCAAAGGCATCTTAATTTCTTCTAATGGCCACACTGCAAATATTTCATGTATATATATGAAACAAGCATCCATGTAAACAATTGTTGTTTTCTGCAACTATTGTGAGTGTCAGTAAAACGTATTAGGTATTGTTTCCGGGTGTTTGTTTGTTTGTTTGTTTGTTTGTTTGTTTGTTTGTTTGTTTGAAGAAAAAGCTTGCATTTTCTGCTATTTCCCAAGAGGCTTTTTATCTGTTTAAATCAACTAGGGATTTTTCACATATTGACATAAGCATTCATTTGCTAATTTGCTGGACATTAAACTGCACAGAGCCTCCCCCAGTGTTATTGAATGAGACTGAAATACTTGCGTACTTAGTGCTGCTCAGACGCCGCATCATTCCTCGTACACATATGGTTTTTCCTCCTCTATCTCCTAGATAAAAGTCACTGTTTGATCGCCTTAAGGAAAAGAATGAGTTAAATGGACCAATATTCTAGGCTTGGCTCAAAAACTGGGTCTTTTCAGAAACTCCTCAGCACCTGCAGCAGCGAGGTCATTTGCACATACATAAATAAATAAATTAACAATGAATAAATAATTTAATCCCACCACACAATGCCACCTTGCAGATTTGATCCTTTGCTCCCAGTGAATTTGTCCATTCCTCATTCTTTTTGATAAAGTCCTCAGATACTTGCTGACTGTCAGGCTAATTTTCTTATTGTTTTCGCTTGATTAGTTCTCTATGACCTAAGGTCGCCCCCTAAAATCCACATCTCTCGTGAAGACTCCAAAAGGCCTTCTTTATTTATTTTTTTTTCAAAGGGATGGAAAGTGCCTGCCATTTCTCCGGACAAAAGCCTGGAAGGTTTTCAGTTATTAGCCTCCTGAAGCAGCCCTTTCGCTCACCCAAGCGCAAAAAAAACTCATTAGGGGGCACCTTTCTTTCTGGCCTTTTTATCTAATACATGTAGGGTTTACGTATGTCAAGATTTTCAGGTCTTGGATGAATTTGGACTGTCTCCCCTTTAACCCTTCTGGTGTAGCTGTGCCCACCATGTAGGTTGCCTGTATCTCTGTGTGCTATACTGCTTTGAGAATTATGATGTTTTAAAAATCTATTTTACAGCCTGCTATATGGTAAATACAAGACATGTGCTATGGATAGGTATCACTGCACAGTTAGAAAGGCAGGCCAGTGGGGGTTCTGTCTGGACTCTCGGCATTTTGTACTTTGGATTTTTTATTCTGCAATTTTTTTTAATCTGAGTTTTAGTCACACAGTTCCTGTTAAATCCAAAGGGATTTGCATGGCTAATGCTAGGTTATATGTGCCCTGCCCCATTGATCCTACTGCAGGGGCCAAGCCCACATATTGTCCATGTGATTGGTTGAGAGCAGTGGCTGTGTGAGGCTACATAGCTATCCTAAGGTACAACACTTCCTGGAGCTCCCACTGGGGAAAAAAACACAATCTGCCTCTTCCAGGAACAATGTTTCTGGGCTTTGCCCTAGTGTGTGCACTTCACAGTAGCAATCCATTCTCTCTTCTTGGCTTATAAGTGGCATAAAATCAGGATGACATAATATTCATGAAAATCATGCAACCAGTTACACAGCAATGCAATGCTTATGGTTACCCCTTTAGAAGCAACATAGCATGAAGCCATAGAGGCAGGTAGTACTGTGAACTAGTTGTGCTGGTTACCTCTTGTTGGACATTTTTCTGGATTTTGACACATTGACAGGCAGACAAGAAGGGGTTTGGGATTAACTATTCTTGTAAGACACCAGTGAATGATCGGAGGGAGGCAGCTTAAATTAACTGTATTCTCTTTCAGCAGAGGGTTGCCTAGTCTCTTTGATGAGAGATCTGTAACAAATTCTGTGTGTGAACCTAATGAAGACAACGATGGGCAGAAACAGAAAGAAAATATCCCTAACCAGAGTGTGAAATACACCTATGGAAGAACTCCGAAGCAGGTACAGGCAACACACGTAACTTGTTATTGTAAACCTACTTTTTTGAGTCATAAAAACATGGGTTTGGGAGGAACCTTGAAACTAATGCGTGTCCTGAGCTGATCCCTTCTTGATCAAAATTCTGCAAGAAATCTATGAACTGTATTGTGGATAGCAGCTAAGGACCACCTGTCCTACCTGTCTCAATTATGAGGCACAGTGTTTTGTCTTTATGTCCTCTCTACTTTCACTGCAGACTGGCAGCCCCACTGACATGGGGAGCAAAGGGGACAACTGCACAGAGTCCTGGTGTTTCAAAGGAGCCTGGAGCTCCCGGCGACTACCCCTTTGAACTGCCATCGGAGCACTGCTCTCCCCATCTTTGAGGGCTGGGGAGGGGCACAGCGCCGCAGTCCAGCCAGCTCTCAGGGCTGGCGGCCCTGGGTCCCACCCTTCCAACCTCGGCCCTGCTCCTTCTGGAGCACAGAGCCCGGCCACCTTCCAGTGTTCCCTCTACGCTGCATGGCAGCACAGTGTCACAGGTGATTAATCAGCCCTGCCCAGTTAGAGGCTCAGGGCTCTGTGCCTGGAGCTGACTGACTGGGCAGGGGCTGATTAATCACCTGTTAAGATGTGCTGCCACACAGTTTAGAGGGAACACTGCCCCCTTCCCACCTTGCCCTGAAGCCCACAGTGGCTGTCAGCCCCGCTGCAGACTGGTCAGCCTGAGTGGCTTTCTTTCCTCCTGTGTTCATGATGGTGACAATAGATTTGGTTACCTATAGGTACGTCTACACTACAAGGTTTTTGTGCAAAACAACCCGTTTTTGCGCAAAAAATGGCACAGTGTCCACACCTCAAGCGTGCTTTTGTGCAGGTAAATCAGCAGAAGAAAAGGCTTTTGACAGTACAGTTATTCCTCTCCCCACAAGGAATAACTCCTTTTTGGGCAAAAGTTCTTGCACAAAAAGGCAAGTGTGGACGCTCCACGGGGGTATCTTGCGCGGAGCACCTGAAAAAGCACAGGTGCTATGATGGCCATTCACAGAATGGCCATGTCAGCCGACGGTCAGGGCAGTGTGTGTGTGTGTATGTTTCCGAGAAAAGGTTTAACGTCCGTGCCTTTACTGCTAGGACCTGGGTCCCATCGCAGAGGGTGGCCAGCAGGCCAACAGACGCCCCGTTATATAGGAAGAGCTTATTACACCTTAGATTTCAGCTGCTAGAATTCGTAATTCCTTCGCAGCGGGCAGCCTTGGGGAAAGACTGAAAGGTGCCCCAGTGGATTGTGCCACCTGGGTGTGACACAAATCCAAACGCCCAAGCTCTCCCTATATCTGTCCCTAAGACCGGCTGAAGTTCTTTTAAATTGTGCTTGGTTCTGTTACAGCAACTGAAGGAGTCAGGTTAAAGCTTAAACAGTTACAGGTTTATTGAGGAAGCTTATAAATCATATGGTTGCAATGGCTATTGTTCTATTTCTTAACTACTAGCAAAATATAGATTTTAAAAATGGTTACAAAGAAGATAAAGATAGAAAAATAGAAATAATGGTACCAAGTAACAGCTTACTCTTTCTACGTGTACACTTAAGACAGAGGACCACATCCAGGTACCATTTTTACCCCCTTCTGTGCCTCTCGACTCCAGCATGTCAGGCCAGGGCCGGTCCCTCAATTCCTAGGAAAGACAAAAATACGAGGTGGGCGTCCCCATAGAACCTCGGGAGGTCAAACACCTAACCCGACCAGCAGGTAGAAGGTAGAATGACACTCAAAGTGAGTGTGTGCTGGGCCCATCTTTTATACTCATGGGGTCACGTATTTCTCTTTCTTATCTGTCATGCCAAATGGGGCTGGTCTGTCTTTTGTGAGACCAGTTCTTACAAGGGAGTTGTGAACTTAATTTACACTTGTAAGAGAGATTTGAGATGATTAAATTGGAAGTACGGGACATTGTTTTCTCAGTGGGAAATTCCTCTTCCAGGGACTGTGTGTGTGTTCGAATCAACATAGGTGCCAGCCGGTGGCAGTCTCGCATATCCTGATCTCTCCTCATATCTATGTTTCAGCTTCTCAGGATCAGATGAGCCAGCATAGACTATGCTGATTTTATTGCTCCTTCTCTGTCCTGTGTGCTTCAGGGAGGCAAATAAGATGGATGTGATGGAGGCGGGCTGTCTGGCCACAGGCCATCAGAGCTTTCTTGCGCAAGAGTGTCCATGCAGTGTGGACGCCCTCTTGCACAAGAGCACATTGCTTTTGTCATGCACTTTGAGGTCTGGACGTGCTTTTGCGCAAGAAGTTTTTGTGGAAGAACTCTTCTGCAAAAGGCTTCTTGCGCAGTGTACACAAAGCCATACAGGAATGCACATGTGCCTACACAGAGCTGCACTTTCTAGTGGGCCAAAATCTGATCTGTATCGGTGGTGTTACTGCTAGCTTTAGAGACTTGTCAGTGAGAGCAAAATGTAGGTCCAATATTGTTTGCCTGTGAAATGGCATACACAGTTATGGCACTATATACAACACACACTCTACACAACCTCTTCACCACATTGCCTTGGAATAGTGTTGTGTGGAAAGAGTCAGAAGTTGGAGTCCAATTTTACAACAGATTTTCTGATCAAGGCTAGTGTGCACCCCACTAACTTCTGATCCTGTAAACACTTCTGAATATTCTCAAGAATAAAATTAAGAAGCTCATGTACATAAAGTTAAGTGTGTGTGCAAAATGGGGGTTATCAACCTGTGGTCTACAGTCTGTGTTTCAGAGGCCCATGAAACATTGCCATTACCAGAAAACAGTGGTTTTCAATCTGGGATCTTCGCACTATGGCTAAGATTTCCAAAGGGGTCTGGCACCATCATTTGAAATTTTTAGGGGTCCTCAAATGAAAAATGATTGAAAATCACAGGTGTAAGTGTTTGCAGGATTAGGTCCACAGTTTGTAATACTATTGCTCCTGGCACAAGTCAACTGTATGAAGCTTATGGAAAGCCGGCATATAGGGGGAAAAGTATGCTGGAACAAGTTGTGTTGGAGGAACTGCTGCACTCCCTAGCTTGAAGAAGTTTTCATTATATATGGGGAGTACAGGTTGATTCTATGGCTCTTAGCACCCCACTACAAAAATTGTTCCATCATCCTTGTACTGAAGTCTAAATAAAATGAAGGAAGTAAATTTCCATGTAAATGTTTGGTGGACTGGACCCTGTGTCATTTTAATTTGATAGCATGAATGAGGAAGAAAACAAAAAACAATGCTAATTCTGCAAGGCATGTCTTAAAGTTATTACATGTGACAATTGAAAACAAAACTGGAGATATGGGACAATTACTACGGTTACAAGTGTATAGGAGGAGTATAGAGTGCACCATCCCCCTTACACCAAGGTTTCTCATTCAGTAGCAGCCTGCTCTGGCTGCTAAGCAGTTGGAGTGGGTATTTGTGTTTATGCTTATATATTTGCCAGTTGAATAACTGGAAAATTCATGTACCTCTTAATTGTACTTGAGTTTCCATGTTCAGTGGAAAAATCCTGAGGTTACATCCTGTCTCATAGCAGAATTCCTCTGAACTCTGTAAGGAGGTAGTGAAATTGTGCTTTTGGAAAACCATAGTCACCAGTTAGTTACTAAAGAACTCCTTGTTTGAAAGAAAAACTCCAGGAGATATTTGTGCCAAGATAATTACAAATAAAGTATCTCTGTTTATAACCCTTCATACCTGTCTTCTTCCCCCCCCCCCACTAATAAAATTCTCCCAGCCAATAGAGAAAGAGTTTGAAGATTTAGATGAAATGAACACCCAGCGCCTCACTCAGGAGACTATGTACCTTCTCTTGAAACGGTAAGGAGACTGGCTACTGAGGCTTCTGTGAAGACTTAGGGCTAGATTCTTGGCTGATGATAACTTCCAGAGTTATACTCATTTCTACCAGCTGAAGACCTAGCCCAGAGGGTTTTTTTCCCCAAGAAGCAATAACAATCTTTTATCAGTGATAGAAATGTAGCCGTGTTAATCTGGTATAGCTGAAACAAAATACAGGACTATGTAGCACTTTAAAGACTAACAAGATGGTTTATTAGATGATGAGCTTTCGTGGGCCAGACCCACTTCCTCAGATCAAATAGTGAAAGAAAATAGTCACAGCCATATATACCAAAGGATACAATTAGCTGAAACAAAATACAGGACTATGTAGCACTTTAAAGACTAACAAGATGGTTTATTAGATGATGAGCTTTCGTGGGCCAGACCCACTTCCTCAGATCAAATAGTGGAAGAAAATATTTTCTTCCGCATATACCAAAGGATACAATTAAAAAAAATGAACACATATGAAAAGGACAAATCACATTCCAGAACAGAAGGAGGGATGCGGGGGAGGAGGGGAAGGAAGGTGAATGCCTGTGAGTTAATGATATTAGAGGTGGGGAAGGGTAGATG